CATTATTCTTTGTTGTCAATTGCCTGGCCCATCCTCTTTAAAAATAAATAAATCCCCGGGGGAAAAGGCGCCTCTGACCCAAGGCCTGTGGGAGTAAAAAGGCATCTAGAAGATATTTCACTTTTCACAAACCGCAGGGAGGCCTCAAGCCGCCAGCAGGGAGCGTGACCCCAAATGCAAGGCGAGGTGGGGTTCTATTTCCTTTAGCACAAAGTAAAATTTTGAGCCCCACATCGTTGCTATTAGCCCCGACCATAAGGACTCAAGGCTTAGGGGAATACATCTCACCAAGAGTCCGCGGAATGTGTTCACTGCTCTTCTTCCCCCCACACTAGTTCTTTTCTTAGCAAAGTTATGGTCTTGGTAAACTTCTCACCATGTCCAGTCACGTGACTTGTTGTCTGAACAGCACTTCCAGAATACAAAGCTGGTGGCCGGTGGATGGTTATTGTGACTGATCTTTTTAGTTGTCCCATTCACACACAGGGTCTGTACCCCTCTATCACGGGCTTTCTCTGAGTCTTTCTGCCCCCCTCCCCAAAATCTCTATTCTGATTCTCCTTCATTGTGAGATGCCCCAGCTACAACCACTAGCCAGCGCCCGCCCTGGGAGAGCTCTGGAGAGACCGATTCTCCTTCGCCCTTGGAGACGGGAGGCATAAGGCACAAGAGGGCCTGGCAGCAATCACAGACCATGCCACACTAGGCTCGGCCACCATCAGGAGCTGGGGACTGGAGGGCACAGAGAGCTCTGGACCAAGCATCAGGGTCCTGGGCACCGCCAGTGTCCGGGGCACACCGGGAAACGGGTGTCCAAGGTCTCAGAGGGCTGATCGCAAACCCCAGGGGACCGGGAGTCCCCGCTCTCTAAGGCACATGGAGCTCAGCCCCTCCCTCCCCCCAGGGCCCTCCTGGGCCCATGGCCTCTCCACCGACTCTCTCCCCACAAGCGTACCTGAAACGCTGGCCGACATCTCGCTGTCACTGAGGCCGGGGGGCTCTTCCTCCTGATCCCTGGGCTGAGCCTCCCGCGCCGGCCGCCCCCGACCAGGGGCCTCTCTGGAGCGGGCGCTGTTGCCGGGCGGCCCCTTCTGCACCCCGGTGCCCTCCTCCTCCGAGCGCCTCTCGCCCTCGTGGTCATCGCTGAGCGCCGAGTCCGAATCCCAGCCCGCCGGGGCTCCCATCGTCCTTCCCGCTGCCGGCGCAGCCCGGGCGCAGGCCGGGGACAGCAGCAAAGTCTCGTCCGCTGCGCTCGCGTCCGCCCTCTCGCCGAACAGCCTCCAGCAGCAAGCGGGCGTGGTGGGGGTGGCCGGCGGCGGCCGCCCCGCCAAGTGCTGAGCGCGCTCCTCCTTCTTGTTGAGGATGGCCTGGATGGAGAAAGGCGTCAAGGCGTTACCGCTGCGGACAGCCATCTGCCCCGGGGCCGCCGCGGGGGGCGGGCTAGCGCGGGGAGCAGGGAAAGAGACACCGAAGCGAGAGCTGCCGCCGAAGCGCCCCGGTGCACCAGCGCCTGCCCTGGCTCCGGCGCCAGAGCCAGTCTCCGCCCGGATCCCGCTCCTTCAACTGGGAGACTTCATCGCCGCCCCCGGCTGCAGCCCCTGCTCCCCGGCTCGGAGAGAGCGAGCGGCGGTGGGGAGCTCGGGACGCTTTAATACGCCGTTCCCATGCAGCCCTCCCATAAGAGCCTGGATGGCTGCCTGGCCTGGGGGCTGCTTCTGAGCCTCCCCCGCTCCTTCTCCCCTGCAGCAGCTGGGTCCCTCGCGGCGCTGCACTTTTTTCTGCCTCTATCTGTTCCTTGGCTCTTTCCTTCTCCTTTTTCTCCCAGCCCCGGTGTCATTCCTCACCTATGAGTGACAGTCCCGACCCCGAGCCTTCCCATTGGGCAGCGCTCCGCGCAGGGTGGGAGTTGATTGGCGCACCACAGCTGGAAGCTGTTGATCTTCGGACAGAACTGGGCGAGTAGAAGGGAGTCGGACGTGGGCTAGTTAACCCCTTCCTCTCTGGGGTGGGGGCTGCATGTCCATGTCACGGACGCCCTTCAAGCCTGGAGCGATCTATCCCCTACGAATAGATCTTCTGTGCCCTAACCCAAGGGGTTTACAGAAATATATTAGCCCTTCAACTTTTCATTCTAAACGCGTGATGGTTCAAAGGATTGCCACGGTCCTCTTACTTTCTATATTATGGTTTAACCCACCCCAAACAAATGCTTCCGTTCCTTGTGAAAAACCATGTACTTAATCCGAATCATTAGCTCTCAGAGTTTCGGGGTGCTTTCCCCTCCTCCTCTGTGTTGGTTAAATTGGGAAATCGATGTAGTGACCCACTTTTAAAATATGGTTTAATTAAAGTTGAAACAGTCAATGGAAACGTAAACAGTGTTTCAAATTAGGAAACCTTTAAAATACGGCTTTCTAGGAAGAGTCTTTAAAATAATTTATTTCATAGTCTGTTAGGGACTGTAAAACTGCGCCTGAATTAAAGCTGCGTATGCTATTTAGCTTTATATTGTGGAGAAAAACTTTCAGATTTTGGGCTGCTTGCTTTATAGGGACCATTCAAAATTTCTTCAACAATTTTCTAAAACAGGGGTGTTAATTTTTCTATTATTTTAGTTATTTACAATTTGATGATTTTATATCAATGGTTATCTTAATCTAATGGGACTTTTAAAGTCTTTTTTTTTTGTTACTGCGATTAAAAACGGTTCTTACTTCTAAATCGCTATTTGACGGAAAGAAAATAACTCTAAATAACAGGAACATGTTGGAAACTATGAAATCAACACGTATCTTATAAATGTTACTTATTTAAACATATACAACAAATGTGTCTCAAGTATCATGTTTTATTTTCCCCATTTAAAATATTGCCGCGCTAATAAAATATCGAAAAATCCCGACTGGAGTATTAATGAAGTAAATGAAAACTATAAGCTCAGTGCTACAGCTCTGAGTTTTGGGTTTAGTGATGGGGGTCAATACAATGAAAAATATAATCTCAAGATTTTTCGTTACGGAACTGGCGGTTTTTATCGTGTAATAAATACACATGATTTTACCGCCTGGAACAGAACCTCGCCTCTTTTATAAACCTATCTAAGCATTGAGCATTTTTTATTTTGTTGCCTGCAGCAGCGTCGTTTTACACTCGACCAAGAAACCGATTGATTGTGAACGATTCTCGTTCAAAATATTTCCTAAAACTTCAGTATTGCCGCCAAAAAATACCTGCTTTGCCCTGCGCAGTAAAGAAACCAAAAAGCGTCTTTGATATGGCGAATGAGGGTCTGATTAAAGCTTGGGAACAAATAAAGCCAGTTTAAATATTATTTGGGCTCCTTCTTCTCGTGTTTCCCAGGGGTAGTTATCAGTTCTGGCAGGTAGTGTCTAGGTGCATGGGTTTGCGCAATAGATATGCGAAGGAAACGGGGGGTGGGGGAGATGGAGAGGGTAACAGACATATAGGAAGTATATGAGAGCGTATGTGTGAAATATGCAGCCCACGACACATTAAAGTGACTATCAGTAAACATGCAAGGAGCTTCTGGGTGCTGTGCCGTGTGTTTATAATAGCCATGCCAGGAGCTTTAGGGGTAACAGGACCGATTAACAGCGGCTGGGAGTGTGGGGTGTATTCGTGTAAGTGGAAATGCGCGTGGGTGTAAGAGAGAGACACACACACGCTGGGAGTTTTGAGGCACACCCTGAGTCACAGATGCAGGAACTTGGCGTAGGTGACCGGGGTTGGGGTGTGTGTGACAGAAACACGCAAGGCGCTTTCGAGGCGCAGAGCGGCGTGCTGGGGGCAGGGGCCCTGCGTTTCCTGGCGCGTGCGGACTGGGAGCGGAGCGAGGCAGGACTGTGGAGCTCCCAGGCCAGGCTCCGGGCGTCGCTCCGATTTACACGCCTTTGTTAGCGTGTACGCTGCTGGACACCCCACCCGGGGGCTAGCTCGCAAGGGCTGGGATTCTTCTTTGCTAGGCTGCGCTTGCAGTGCCCTCTCCCAGCCCCGAGAGCAGTCCCCGGGCGAGGAGGCCGGGCAGCGAGCGCCGGAGAACAGGGGTAAGGAAGACGGAGTGTACTGGGAGCCTGAGGCCGGGCCAGGCCGGTTGCTCCAGGCGCGGTGGCTGCTCGCAGCTGCCTGGTACCGACTGGGTGGTCCGCGCTCCTCGCTGAGCTGAGCAGCAGGCGCAGCTCCGCAGCTATTGGGCAGCAGGACGCCCAGAGCCGCGGAGCCGCTCCGTTTGTTTGCTCTGCCATCCAGAGACTGATAGTTTATGACCTGTAAGCGCAATTGCCACCGGGGCTCAAACTCCAGACTGACGGCTTCAGCGCTGCCCGAACTCAGATCCGAGCATTCAAAGGGTGAGAGTCTGTATTGGGGGGTTTCCCCAGGCAGCCCTGCGTACCCCTGCCCTACACCAGACATCCCACTGGAGCAAAGTTAGGGAGACGCACAGTCAATCCGGCTGGCGAGGGAAGGAGAGAGAGAGGATCGCTTGTCTGCAACACACATTCACTGCAGCTGATTGGAACGTCTGTGCCAGAAATCGCTTTTATTCTGACTTGCAAAAAGTTCATTCCCCCCCCCCCAAGTTTGTCATGATTCGTTACAAATAATCTCTTCTAATTATCATCAGCCCCGAGCCTTCTAATCAGATGCAATGCTCACTTAATAGTTTGCTAAAATCATTTTTAAGTCATTTTTTCAATGATCCAGTGAAATGCCTCTGTATACCGAGAAATAACGTTTTTTTCTAGAGCCATCCATCCTGCACAGAAACATTCTTGTAGATCTAACCATATTTGCTGCTGTCCTTTACAAATCGTCTTATTGTTTTGCAGAGATAAATTGCTTCACATAGTAACCTTGAACTCACCGCACGATCGAATTATTCACCAAAAGACCAGGACACTTACAAATAATTACTCCCTGATAATATCTGAGAGAGAAAGAGGAAAATATATAAATCTCCTCTGTAGAAGAAAGGTAAGCAATAACGAAAGATTTACAATGTTGTTTAATTGATAGGTCAGAGTGTAACATACGAATGTCCCGGAAGTGACAATTTCCACATCTCCCTCAATCCATCAGTAAGTGTTTTATAGGACTTTGATTTCCCCTTAAAAATAGAAAACAAGTATTTTGTTTGAGTTGCCATTTTATACAGCTGACTTGCAGATAGCAAATCTTTGTGTATATTATATATCTGTTTTAAAAGTGTGATGCTTTAGATCTACCTGTTAGTTCTTCACAGGAAATTATTTTGTATTCTTCTATTTGGGCTTAATTTATACAGCTCCATCTCTATCTCCTGTATCAGAAACTTTTGCATATTAATTTCAGCGAATGGATCATCTATTTTCCCTACAGTTTTTCTTCTCTCTTTCAGATCATGTCAAGAAATATGAGGAAAAATAGCTTTCGGATAGTAGATCTTAAATATTATGAACCGTAAAAACACTCAATTGTAAACAGGTCTACAACTACAAATAGACAGGCTGCGCCACCTACAGGCAGTTCTGTATCAGTACTCACTCTCTCATGGCTGTGTTGCTGCTCTGTTAAGTAACTCGGCTGAAAACAATCTTGATCATGATTATTAATTAAACAGAGAAGTAGTTCAGGAACACGGCAGTAGTCTAACATTCAGTAACAAAGTCTATGCTCTGAAGGACATGCCTGTTAGTGGGTGCAGTGCTGATATATTTTTAATGTAAGTTTTTAAACCAAGTTTTGGACAATTTAAATATTGAATCAGTATAAACTGGTGTGAGTGAGTAAGGATGACCAGTGTGAGTAAAGGTAACAGGATAGGGCCCAAAATAGCCCAAATTTGAGTTATATCAGAGGCCTGGGAGAAACCAGGCATTTTTCCTTTAAACTACCTACTGAGTAGTTAGAAGTGTCCTTATTTCAGATGAATTGCTCCTTTCTTAAGCTGCGAGTCTTTCCTCTAGGACAGAAGAGAAAGTAGGCTCAGACTCAGAATGATGGCCCACAAGCTCCTCTCAATGTTGTGGCATGTTGGGGAGACAAAATGGTATGAACTGGAGAATGGTCAAAGTGCATACTTCCTGAAATGTGACATAAGTAAGGCATACAACTATCTGGTCAACCTTCATTACTTAAGCATTCCCTAACTTCGATGGGAATACTTGTGGTAAAGTGAGCAGGACTTATCCAACATGCCTGCATTTGAGGAGCACTAACCAGCCGTCAGTTAGAGAGGGTCACACGAAAGAACCCATGGGGGATGGGGAAAATAATAATACTGATAATTATTACACAGCATGGGAAGCAGTCTGGAATCCACTGAGTAGCTAAAAGTCTTTACCCACTAATCTGAAACCTGTGCATGGGTTCATGTCCAGGCCCCTAGCCCATTCTGAGCTGCTGCCTTAAATGTCTTTTACTAAATACTTGCACAGGGCCTACTTCTTTTAGCCTGGGGTCCTTCATATTAATACAGTTGTGTAAATGGCTTTAAAAATGTAAACAAATCTTTTTTTTTTCTTTTTAAACAAATCCCCTGAGGTGTTGGAAACCCAAACAGAAATGACCTGCTTGTTTTCACTGTCCAAGGTAAGTGAAATGCAAAGGAAATACACACACACACACACACACACACACACACATTGCATAAATGGAGGAAAAGCAAATTAGATGTTTAACATTCTCCTGTTTAAAAAGGTAAGGTGCTATGAGTCTCACAGATAACGTTTTACAATGGAGCTACATCATCCTTTACATGGGAGTAAACTGTATAA